TTAGTTAACCCAAACATGAATATCGTGTCATTACTCACCCTCAGGACTTTCGTTCATCTTTGCTGCACAAATAAAGATTTGTGTGAAAACACACTCAGTTAAATCAATGAGTAAAGAACATGTCTTTATAGGGCAAAGAGAACTTCATATATTTTAATAAATCATTTCAATCACAATAATATGATATTACATAGTATAATGTTAAACAAAACCTTAAAAATATCATTTAACTGCGACAATGAAAAAGAAAGTGTGTGTGTGTGTGTGTGAAACAGTAAATGGAAACAAAACTGAGGAAAATTAATATGTAATCGATGGTTTTAAGGGGTGAATCTTGCTAAAACATATCTAGGTAACATTTCACCTCAAAATCAAGAGGAAAAATCATTATAAATTATATTTCTTTTTTTCTCATACATTTTTGTACAATTAAGCAAATTTTTTCATAATTTAAAAAAATATTATTCTAAAAGTAATAAGGCAGTATAACAAATACTACTAATATATATATATATATATATATATATATATATATATTATATAATTATATTTATATAATATATAATATATTATAATATTATATATATTTACGGAATTTATATATATATATATTTATATTTTGTATTTTATATATATATATATATATATATATATTTACGGAATTATATTTAACAATATATTTATTGAGAGAGAGAGAGAGAGAGAGATGTGCTTGAAGTTCTTGAAAATAGGCACAATAAAATGTTGTGGGGTAAAATATGACCCCGACATGTTCTAGACCGGTTTAGTGAGATTCATGTTTGTCCCATACAGCCTCATTTCCATTTCCCTGATCCATAAACCAGACAATTTTGGGGGAATGGAAAGCTCTTCTGAAACTGTGTGTCTAGCCTACGGTCTGTCCGATAAGAGCGTGTCGATGTCCTGTATGGCTCTGGAGGTTTTCAGCAGAGCCTCAGAGATGCAGGTCTCAGTGAGTTTGATCTCGGACCGATCAGGAGAACGCTCACATCTCAAAGATCTCGCTGTAGGACGCAGGACAGAGCTGTTCTCCAACAAAACTGATGCTTTGTGTTAAAAAAACATTCTAATCTCAATAGTCAATTTCTGCATCAACAGCCACATACAATAGGGCTGTCAAAACGGCTAAAAAAAACTCAATTAAAATTGAATATGTAAATATTACACATATTATATTTGAATTTAAAAGTCATAATTTCAGTTAGGTCTCCTGAGGCCACAAGGGGGCGCAATTAGCAAAATGAACACTGAAACGTCGGAAAACGCCTGAAAATCCTAGTGTGGACGGAGAGCGTTTTTAAACGAAAACGCCGTGTTCAAATGTATCCGGATTAATGTGGACGTAGCCTTAGAGAGCTATGTAAAGTGAAAGTTTACATAAGTGAAAAAGCAACAACTCATCATCATCACATCTCGTTCACCACTGATAAGGCTGACACCTAAAATTAAACCTAGAATTTAATTCGACGAATATTCAAAATTCGAAGTTTATTTTGTCAGCCCTAACATACACATATAATCTCAGCAAAAAAAGGATACAGTTAAACCTCTTGATTTTTTCCAGCTCTGAAACAACAGATCTGTAGGGGTGAAACAAATCAGGATGATGAAGGGATAGTTCACCCAAAAAGTGAACTCTACCATAAAAAAGTTACACTTTAAAATGCATTAAACTTTGTAAAGAGACAAATAAGTTTGTTGTGGCTATCCCCCAATCAATTTCACTGCATAGAAAAGCAATTATACTTGATAACTTTATTTTAAAATACCCTGGAAAGAACATAGAGAGCAGATTTCTGGATGAGAGTGGTTGATATGCATCACTATAATACTATAATAAAGATGATGCACAGACTTAGTTCCTTAATACCTGCATGTTATTGGCTGAGGAGTGTCAGAATGGGCGGAGTCTGAGAGAGCCACACCCACTGCGCGCTTGGTCTGTTCGGTCTGTTTTACCCAGTCACACCACTGCACTACTACCGACACATACCTGAGAGAGAGAATAGGAAATTACGTATTTTCTTAAAGGTGCATTGCGCAAGTCTCTGAGTTTTTGCAGAACTACGCCCCCTCTGGCGACATGCGAAACTACAACCAGAGGTGTGCACGCTCATGGACCACAAGCACACGCTTGCACGAGCTGTTCATAACCAAAGGAAGATCAAATCTTTTGTTACAGTCATAATGTCTTCAGAGGTAATAAAGTTATAAATCTGCAAGTCATTTTAAATATATGAAAGGAAACCTTTACCTGTGATATGTTTTTTCTGTCTCGACTTGGACAAGAGTTTGGTGCCCATCTGGCATATTGAGCTGGCACCACCTGTGAGATGGTTTGGTTTCTGTCTCGAGTCTCTGCTCCATTTCTTCACACTATCATCACAAACACATAAATAAAACGCATATGTAAAATTCATGAATTCATAACTTTTTTTTTAAAAGATTTTAAACTTTGTTTATTGACATGGTTCCAGTGTAACTTAATTTATGCTCTATTGAGCATTTGGCACGCGGATTAGGAGTGGGCCATGTGTCTAAATCAATACTTATGGCAAAATGAATATATACCTTTTAAATGTAAAATAATAAGAAGAAAAAAAGGTTAAATAAATAATAATAATAAATAAATAAAGTATTTAAATAAAGTCATATTTAAATAAATCAGATTTAATCCTGAGTTATTATATAAATAAAATACTAATATACATTTAAAAAATATATTTCAGATAGAAGCCAAAACAACTCTTTAATTCAGTTTAACTTTAATGTACTAAAATAAACTAAAAAAAGAAAGATTAATAAAAATTATAGACAGAGCACAAAACATTTTAAAAGTTAAATTAAAATGAAAACAAAATAAGAATAAAAACTGATTAAATTTGTTTTCAATAAAAACTATAATTATCTTAATGATACCAATATAAAACTGGCATATTCAGTGTTTTTCACTAAACGAACATAAAAATGTCATTTATATACACCAATATAACCATACATTGTAATATAATGATCAATATTTAATGTATAAAAATTAAAAATAATACATTACATGAATAAAATAATATTTAACTAATATTTTTAATTTATGAAAAACTTGATGCAAATTTGAGATTAAATCCCCTAATTACTAAAAAACTAAGCATGTGAATCGATGCAAGCATATTGCATCAACAAATAGTCTCTGGTGAAGAGCTGATTAAATGTGGAAGTAAACAAGCAGTTTGGTGAGATGATTCATGATCAGTGTGTAGTTGTACACTACTGAAATGCATACAGTATGTTTATGTACCTGTGCAGGTGTACATGTGTCAGACTTCCACATCATCTGAGCCCGAACTCCATCCAGGAACAAGACCTCGACCGTCCCGTCTGAGAGAGCTTTGAAATGTCCTGTACCTGCCACCGTCACCTCCTGAACCACAGGTACACAATCACACACCGCAGCCTGCTGAAGACAGAACCGTCATCATCACACACACATACACCGACACTGAGTGAGTCTCCGTCACACACACACACACCTCGTTCCAGCAGTACAGAGAGAGCGGGACCCTCAGGGAGCTTCTGGCCTGGATGAAACATTTCAGAATCCTAACAAAACACACAAAAAATTAGTCTTTCTTTGTTTTTTTATAGTGGTTTGTGGAATATACAAATTATACAAAACCATTCCAAAGATATTAGGCGGTAATGTGTTTTTGAAAGAACTCTCTTATTCTAAACAAGGCTGCATTTATGTGATAAAAAACCGTGAAAACTG